AAAAACAAAAAATCCTGAATTGCTGCTTGCTCAATGCTCTGAACAACTTCTTCACCTGCTCATGATCTTCCCAGGTGGAATGTTCTCTGCTGGGTTACTCTGCTTATGGATGCAGCACTGCTGTCAAGAGGATTTGGACACAACGAGGAGCCCAGCTGGCCCCAGGATCCATGATCCCTTCACCTTCTGCTCCAAAGGAATGGCTGAACCCCAGGAGCTGCCACCTGAGCTCCCCACAAATGGGATGTGAAAAAAAAACTGCCCTTCATAAATCCACTGGCTCCCGTGGGTTTAGCACCACCCCAGAAAGACATTTTTATATAAAAGGAAGGGGCACACCTGCACCTCTGTGAAAGGGACAGCACTGAAAGCCCAGGGCACAGCTCCCAGAGCTTCCCCACCTTCCCTTCCAGGGATTAATCCATGATTCACCCCACAGCTGGAGAAGCTGCCTTTGATGCCAGCCCCAGGCAGGGCCAGGAGCTGCACATGAGCAAAGCCCCAGGGAGGGCAGGTTCTGCTCTGAGGCTCTCCCGTGGGGACTCCAACATCCATGGCCATCCACAGCCAAGTGGGAAAAGCCTCCACAGCCAGCAAAGAATTCCTCTCTGAAGCACACTGGAAAATAGATGCACTTTATTTCCCGTTGGCAAAGTGAAACTATGGAGGAAAGCTGTTTAATATAAAAACATCTGACAAAGCACCTCCAGGATGTATTTTTTTGCATCAAAGAAGTAGCTCTTGGCAACAGGCTCGCTCCTCCGACCAGGAGAAGTTTTAGCCAAACCCTGATTGTTCTAGACTGCACAGGGGAAGACAAGCCAGCAAACCTACAGTTAAATATGAAAGAAAAAAAGAAACCAAAACCATTACTGGCCCAAACAAACATCTGTCTGTGATTAAACTGGATGCACAGCTATGTTGTGTCTTTTTTAAAGGACTTGTTTCTGCAGGGAGGGAGGGGAGAAGGGCTGAAAAGGCTCCAGGGTGGTGCTGGGTCAGACCCAGCCCCCAGCCCAGAGCTGTCACTGAGACACAGCAAAGAGCCTATCCTCAAAACCCAACATTTCCCCCCAGAAGAAACTGCTGTCCTATTGCTGACAAAAATACCCTTTTTTTCTATTAACAGGTAATTCCAGAACCTCTCCCCCAGCCCGGAAAGGGCAATGTTTGCCCAGTTGCCACACACATCCGCCTGACAGATTTAATGGGCTTTTTTTTTTTTTTTTTTCCCTTCTCCTAACACACAGGATCTTCATAAATTTCCTTGTTAGCATAAATCTTGCAGCCTGTTATTTCTGGGGGGGGGAGAGGAAGGGAGACGTTCACTTTCTCCATTCAGTGGGTTTTAAAATATGCTTCCTTAAGTTCATCCTAAATATTGCTGGAGGCAGAAAAAACCCTCTGGCTCTCGCCTGGAGCTGTGGCATCACCTCAGCAAGGCTGAGTCACCAGCTGGGATGGATGCTCCTGCCTTCTTCCTCCCTTTGGGACCCTGCTCCCCAAATCCAATGCCCCCAGCCCCACCACTGCCCTGCAAAAACTTCCCCATCTTAAAAAGAAAAAAAAAAATCAGAAATAATTTAAATAAGCTCCTGCCCATTCAGTGTCTGTTTTTTATTCTCTGTTAATTCTCAGCTTTCCTCCATCATCATCAGTCACCAAGCACAGCTCATCTCCACATGGAGCTCAGCACCTCCTGGACATCAGCAGAGCTGCTGGAATAAACTCATGCCTGTGCTTCCACTTCCAGGTGGAAAACACCTTCCTGCTGCTTTGGAGCACGGACAGGAATTCATCCCTCCTCCAACAAACCACCAATTCAACATTCCTTCTTTAGGATGCACATTTTCAGCTACACATGGGTTCAGAGCTAAAACTCTTGGAGAGTTTTAGCACATGGGAAGTGATTTCAAAGTTTAAAAAAATCCCAAAACAACTATTTTTGGAAAAAAACCAAACCAGCATCTTCCCTGGGGATGGCACAGACACCTAGAGATGCAAGGCCACTTTTTGTTCTCCCACCTGGCCTCCCCTCAGGACCTTCAGAATTTAAATTCATTAACAAGAACTTTGGCCAACGCTCATCATGGGGCTTTTTCAACAGAAAAGTCCTTCCCAGGGCCCTGTGGGATTCAGAGGAAGGCAGGCAATCCCAAAGCCCAGGGCAGCTGCTCCATCCCATCCCATCCCACCCCATCCCCTGCAGAGAGCTCAGCCCTCCACACGCCTGGCAAGTCTAACGGGTACAGCAGCTTCTTGGCATGTGCTGGAGGAGCCAAGTCTGAGGGGAAGGGAAAAAAAAAAAAATTACTACAAATGTTCCACCAATTATGAGTCACGAGGCTGAGCTTTTGTTCCTGCCTTGCTGGATTTTGCCCTTTCCCTGGTATTTCCCCAGCTCCGGCCGGGAGCCGCGGGGACGCCGGGACTGGCCAAGGCTCTGCTGGCTGCCAGGGGACAGACAGACAGGCTCAGCCCAGGCCAGGGAACCACCTGGGTTTAAAATACAATCCCCAAACAGCAGGTTTTCCTCAGCTCTGCCCCCCAGGCAGAAATGAACCTAAGGAGGAGAAGATGGAGCCTCTCTTTGTGCTGGACGTGGCACTGCCCGAGCTCAGGAGGAGGGAACTGCGGGGTCAGACATCTCCAAGTGCCTCTTCCCACCAACCCAGATCTCCCCAGGCCATTGCACCCCACTGGGAAAACAGCAGCATCCCCATTCCAAGGGAAAAGCTGTGGCTGGACACGGATCCTTGCACAAACAACTTTGTTCCAAGACTCTGAGCATGAGATGAAGGCTCTGGGGTATCATCCAGGGATCCAGGTCACATCCACCCAACCACCCACAATTTGTGCTCCCATTTAGCCCTGACTGTTCCTCTGAACTTTACAGTGAGCCTGGCATTGCACTGAAGACTTTCTGTCTTTTTAAGGGCAATATTATAGCCATGGAAGGTTCTACTTTAAAAAAAAAAAAAAAGAAAGCCCTCTTTTTGATTAACACATATGACAGAGATCATCTTCTGCCTTCACGCTAAAACCTCTTGTTTAGAAGTTCATCAAGTAAAGGAGAAACAGGAGAAGAATGGTTCTCTTTGTTACACAAAATTGAATTTTGTGGTTTTAGTAGGAAAAGCCTTTCTGATGATCAAAGCTGGACCAATAAATAGCAGTGGCTTGATGCTAGATCCAAAATGTACTTATTTTTGGAAGACAAGTTAAATGCACACTGAGTACACAAGAGGAGGCAGGGAGGACCACGTGCTTTGTGTATCACTCCCACAGACCTACACTTCAAGCAGAACCATTAAATGGGTTGAAATGGAGAATAAACAAACTGAAATGTGGCAGGTAGACTGGAGCCTAAGTGGGTTTTTCCCTTGTACTTCCCTGTGATGACATGTATGGGTTAACTTCAGCAGGGCTCTTATCCTCTTTCAGCAATCGTGAGCACTGGGGAAAAATAAATCACCCAGCCCCAGACTCTTATTAAAAGTTACACCATTGGAAACGGCACAGGGGGAGAGGAGGGATCTGGTTTCAGCACAATCTCGGTCACATGTTATCATTATATTGTTCAAGGAAAAGTTAAAATCTCCCTTCTCTTCCAGCAAACCCACCAGATGTCCCATAAAGCCTGAGCCATGAGGGAAGCTAAACCATTACAATCTCAGGATCCCCTCTTTTCCAACTTGGCTGCTGAAATCAATGCCAATTATCATGTTACAACAAAAGCCACTGGCACGGGGAGCTTTAGGGATGTGCATCCAGCCCTAGGAATGTTTGTTGGGAATTGCAAACACATATTTATCAGAGCACAAAGCTGAATTATCCCAGTCCTGCTATCAATTGTCCCCCTGCTCTGGACACTTGGCAGCACAACAAAAGCCCGTGGGACACCACCGGGACACCTGAAAGGACAAGGAGAAGGGAAAATCCCCAGAGGGGAATGTGCCACCTTGCCATGATACAGACCCTGAGCTGTTTAACACCCTTTGGAGCTGGGATCAGCCTAAACAGCCCCAGGAATGCCCAAGTGCCACCAAACTTCTCGCCAACCCGACCATGAACTCTTGCAAGGAAAGAAAATGAAGAGAAACGCCACGACCAAGGGACCAGTACCCCAAAGGTCCCCTCCAGCACCCCCCTGGACTCACAGCATCCCCCAGGTGAGCAGCAGATCCCATCACCTGCCCAGCAATCCAGCAAGGAGGCTCAGAGGTGTCCAAGCCCCACCCCAGCCACTGAACGAGGCACGTGGGGCTCCACCAAAAATCACGTTTTTCTGCCTTCATCCCAGCTCTCAGAGCATGAAGCAGGCAGAGAAATTAAACCTGGTCCTACAGGCAGGCCCCTCCTGAGACACCGAGGAGAGATGTGGGATGGTTGATGCAGCCAGAGCCCAGCACTGAGCCAAGGACAGCCCCAGCTCTACCTTCTGTCAGGCAAAACCACCCCAGGCCCTGCAGAGCCCCATTAAGTGAATGAAAGGTTGCAGGGTGGGGCAGAGCAAAAAACCAGGACCTAATTAAGCCAAGCTTTGTTCGTGATCTTCAATGGCTCCATAGCTGGGAGCCTGCTCATGAAAGCAGGGATTGCAGCCCGGGGCCAGGGCCCAACAGGTAACACCAGCCCGACGGTCCCGGCAGGAACCAGCCCAGGGCAGCAGCTCTGGAGCTGCCTGGCTGGCCTGCCATGGAGATGGGGGCTCACAGCCCAGCCCCACTGCCCTGCAGCCTGGACCGGTCCTGGTGGCCTCCACACGGACACGAGTGGCCCTGTGGCCACCTCCAAACGTCCCTGCTCATGCCACAAACAGCATCTCACCACAACATGCAGACTTCTATGGAAAACCAGCTCAAATAACTGTTTTTTGTCCTTCTCGTCACACCCAGAGCACAAAGCAAGAGCAGGACCAGGACCCCCGTCCCCTCCTGCTGTCCTGCCCCACCACCAGCCCCCCATGGCGGGGAGGAAAGGCACCAAGAGCTGCCAACCTGAGAAATCTCCGGGCGTGACGTTGGGAGAGTTTGTAGCCTCTGTTTCAGTGTAAGACAACGTGGAATCTGAGAGATCTGGGGGGAGAAAAAAAAAAAAGAAAAGAAAGCACTTTTAGTCCTGCTGCGTTTGCCAGTGCTACGTGAGCACTCCTGGCTGCTGGGCTTCCCACCACCTCCCCAAGAGAAACTCTCCACAGAGCCAGAAAGCAGCGATTAGCTTTGTAGCTCCACCACGCAAATGCAAAGTTTGAATTGCCTCGACCACAAAAATAACTCCAGTTAAGTTGATCAAACAAGTAGGAACTTGGTGCTTACTGGATAAAGTTACATTAAGCCTCTAAACAAGTCAGAGTTACTATACTTAATTATCACCATTAAAATTCTTGAAGCTGTTTATTCTTGCTTCCTTCCTTCCTCTTTGCTGAAGCGAAGGAAACTTTGTTTTAACAAGTTAAGAGTCTTTGTTATTCTCTCTTGCTTACACCCCTCTAATTAAGTGCTCAACTGTTTGCTCACAGATTAACTATTATTTTTCCAATCAAACAAGCCAGTGAAGCAAATTTCAACCCCTGGCTGTTGTTTTAATAAAGTCACGTGTCGCTCACTATCATCTCTCCCTGCAGCACAAGCAGTTTCTAAAAGGAATTAACTTGGAAGGGGGAGCGCAGGGAGGGACAACTCCTTTTTTTTTTGCCTCCACACCTAACAAAAAAAAGGAAAAAAAGCCACCAGCTGCCAACTTGGCCTCGCAGGCCACTCTGGTCACAGCCCTGTGGCGATGGGGTGCACACATGGCTGAGCTGCTCCCAGGCAGGGCAGAGCCTCACCTTTGGCAGGGGCAGCTCCTGCCTTCCCCCGGGGCTGGGTGGGACAGGCAGGCACTGCTGTCCCCTCCTACCCCTGCCAAACCCCATTTGTCTCCTCCCTGTCCCTGCCCCATGGCAGCAAAAGCAGCTCCCCCTGGTCATTAACCCCAGTAAATCACTGGCCAGGGGATAAAGGGAGAAAGGCCCCAGCTGCACCCATCCCAGCAGGAAATCCAAGAGGAATGTGGGATTCCTCCCTTCCCTCCCGTGTCTCTGCTTCCCATTTAATTGCACAAGAAGCAGGGCTGAGAAAGGATGGTGAGGGTGCAGCTCAAAACATCTCCAGGCAAACGTGCAGCACACAGGACCAGGACCCAGCATCCTGCACTCTGCACCCAGCCTAGCCACCCCAAAGCTGCTCTCACCAGCTCTGTTTGGAAAACCTTCTAGAATTCCCCAGGAAAAGTGACACCCCGTTCAAAAATTACTCAGTGCTAAGTTTCAAAGACTTTCCATCTCTTTGCAAGGAGCAGAGGAAGGGTAATAGCTGCCTCCTGCATGGAGCAGCACAGCCAGGCCTTTATGGAAATGGCACCCAGGAGCTCCCACTCCCGCAGATTACACACACAGACAAAACATGACGTCTGGTAACCTTTCATTACGCCTTCATTAAAAATAGAGCTTCATATTATTTTGGAAAATATGCATGTGTCTACACGGTAATTTGGTAGGATAAACTGGCATCCATTTACTTCTTAAACCCCGTCAGCTGATGCTTGCTCAGAAATAATGAGGAGCCATAAAACCCCGACTTGTTGGCTTTTGCCCGACGTGCCAGGTAGGGCTGCCTCAGAACCAACACCGGGGCTGCACCATGAAAGAGTTCCCCGGAGATCAAAAGAGACAAAACACGTACCCAGTGGCTTTTGCTCATCATTAGGAGACAGCCGAGAGTAGGGAGGTGGTGGAGACTCTGGAAAAAACAAAACTTCAGGTTAGTGCTGTGTTCGGTTGATCAACAAACCCTCTCGCTTTCTCTTTTGGGGTAGGAACTCTTCCAAGGTTATAAACACCCAGTGGAAAACTAAACACTTGGAAGCAACTGGAGACCAAGGTTTTCCTAATTTTTGGACAATGGGAGTTCCACCTTGAACTTTCAAAGTGGGCTTTGCTACTGAAAATGCTGCACCCCTCTGCCCCATCTCTGTGCCTGGGGACCCACAGATTGAGTCACACAAAGCATCAAATTGCTCCCCAAGAACCACATTTCCATCATCTGGGTTGGGAGACAACCTTCCATGGGTGGAAGTGCTCCCCAACACTTCCCTAGCACTGAAAAGAAGGATTGGGTGATGAGAAGACTCCTCTTGGCACACAGGGCTGGCAGCAGAGGCAGGCTGGCTTCACCCACCAACCCATCCAAGTAACTCTGGTCCATCCCAAAAGGCCTTGGCACAAAAGTGGCTCAGGAGCAGAGGCCACTGCTGTCCCTCTCGCCCTGAATCCATCCCAAAAAGCTCCAGAGCTGCTGTGCTCCAAGTTCAGCAAGTCCTCAGAGGTGCTTTGCTGGAACGGGTCATTCAACCAGCTCCAACTTGCTCTTGGAAGAGTCAAGACCACGGGCAAGGCCAATGAAGGTCCTTCATCAACTGCAGGCCCTGATTACAGGGGTTTCTCTTCCCCTTCCATAGCATGACAGTGATGTTTCTTAAATTGTAACTTGCCAAAACTGAGTGTGCAGCCAGCTGGGCTCCATCAGCATTGAGCAGGCACCGACTTCAGTGAGAAATTGCTTTGTTAAGTCCCATCAGTGGCAGCACACCGACCCCAGAGCAGGGAAACACGGGAGTGCTCCTCAGTCCCCACCCCGACCTGAGAGCACTCAGCCAGCTGGGCTCCCCAAAAACCACCTCAGCATCCCCTGTGTGATGGCTCTGGGGTCACCTACTGCTCCTCAGAAAAGCTTCCCCACTTCGCCTAAGGGAGCGGGGTGCTCTTCTCACAGGGTGCTTATAGATCCCAAAATACAAAAAAATAAAGGTGCTGGTCCCACTCCAGACCTGCTGCCACCAGGAACTCTTGGAAGCACCCCAGAACTTTCACACCCCACAGGAAACTGGGTGGGAAACGCCAACAGGATGATCCCTGTGGGGAGCCACTTGTGGAAAAAGGGCATCAAGGCCTTCTCCTGGCTCCTGTTAGCAGCGCCCAGCCGGCGTGGGTGGGGTCCTGGCTCAGTCACCCCTTATCAAAGTGATAAGGAGCCACTTGATAACAGCTCTGCTTTCTACTACTCCCAGCACAGGGCTGGCAGCCGCTCACCGCTGGGAAAACCACCACGGCTGCAGGAAAGAGACTGGGGAACTTCTCCCGTTTCTAAAAGAAATGCCCCGCTCCTAAAAACGCAGCTCAACTCCCGCTGGAGTAAAAAAGCTGCCTCCAGCCTCTAGCGACCTTCGGGAGAAGCACGCCCAGAAGAGAAGTTTCTTTGAAAGAAGTGATGCAAAGCGAGGCAGGAACCCAGATTGCAAAAGAAATAATAAAATCAAAGTTCTTGCCAAAAATAGGAGACAGTCAGCATAGAATCATAGGATGGTCTGGGCTGGAAGGGACATTAAAAATCATCCCGTTCCACCCCCTGTCATGGGCAGGGACACCTTCCACCATCCCAGGCTGCTCCAAGCCCCATCCAGCCTGGCCTTGGACACTTCTAGGGATCCAGGGCACCCACAGCTTCTCTGGGCACCCTGTGCCAGGGCCTCAGCACCCTCACAGGGAAGAATTTCTTCCCAATATCCCATCTAACCCTGCCCTCTGGCAGTGGGAATCCAGCTGTCCGCTTTCATTACAGTTTTTGTACAGCCTATTAAATATTATTTCCATTTCTGCACCTCCGACTCCAATGTGTCTCTGCTCCATGTAACCATTCCCTGCTGACACGGACACACGATCGAGTATTGCTGAAAAAAACCAAAAAACCCTCAACAAGCCCAAACCCACGCCTTGAAAAAGCTCACCTCTGCACACGGTTAAAAAAAAAAACCACAAAAAACAAAAAAAAAAAAAAAAAAAAAAAAAAAAAAAAAAAAAAAAAAAAAAAAAAAAAAAAAAAAAAAAAAAGAAGAAGAAGAAAGAAGAAGAAAAAAAATAGAAACCCCGAGAATTGCAGGAGCCCCAGATGTCCCCGCGGGTCCGGGGATCCCCGCGGCGGGGACATCCCCGCAGCCCCCCCGAAGCGCCTGCGGCTTTAAGCCGGCGGCGGTGACCGCCCGGCTCCGATACGAGCGAGCCAGGCTGGCGCCAGCGGGATGGAGCCGCCGATTATCGCCCGTCCGGCTCCCGGAGAGCGGGGAAACTCCGCGGGAAGGGGAAAAAGCCAATAAAGAGAAAGCGCTTCTTACGCACAACTGGAACCGCCGGCTCCAGGAGCGGGGGGATGCCCGGCGGGGGGACCCCGGAGCAGGCGCGTCCCCCCGGGCATCCCCGCGACGCCGGGGCAGCGCTGCCCCCCGGGGTTCGGATAAACCCAGCACGGGGTCAGAAAGCCCGAACCCCCACATGGGTGCGGGTTTGTGGGGGGGAGGTAACCCAGCTCGCCGCCGCTCACCTGGCCCACAGAGGCGGCTGAAGTGGTAGGGGTTGCAGCAGACCGTGGGTCCGTCGGCGACGCCGAAGCTCTGGCACTCGCAGAGGGGCTTCAGCTCGGCGGGGTGCTGCAGGTCGGGCCAGCGGAACAGCTTGCCCAGGAGGAGGTGCGGGGGCGCCGCCAGGCCCCCCAGGCGCACCTCGGTGCGGGCCACCAGGACGCAGCCGCCGGGCATCCCCCCGCGGGACTCCACCGCCTCCAGCAGGCTGTCCAGCGAGCGCTCCTTCAGCCGCTTCAGCAGCGAGTAGGTGACGGCCTTCAGCTCCTGCTCCAGCACCAGCAGCCGCGCCCGCGCCTCCCGGCCCCGCCGCTCCGGGGAGCCGCCGTCGGCCGCGCCGTCGGGGCCGGGGGCGGCGGCGGGGAGAGGCTGGGGGCCGCCCGGCTCCCGCTCCGAGAAGAGGCAGCAGGTCACGGTCCGGCCGTCGCTCTCCGGCGCGGAGCCGGGGCCGCGGAGCCGGGCCCCGCGCCGCTCCGCCATGGGGTCCCCGCGCGGCGCCGCCTCGCCCGCCGCCCCGCGCCGCTCCTCCGCCTCCCGCAGCAGCAGGCTGCGCGCTACCGCGCGGAGCTCCGCCGAGGGGCTTTTCTCCGCGATCTTGCAGCTGCCGGTGGCTCCGAGGTCGTGGCCGCTCCTGGCGCTCCCATCTCCGCCGTCCCTGTCCGGAATGACGCGGCTCCTCCAAAGTCGCCGCACCAGCCCTGAGCGTTTGGACCTGAACATACGACCCGCGGGCGGCCGGGGGTCGCGTCGCTCTCCGCCGCCCCCCGCCCTCCTCCGCGGGGCTCCTCGCTCCGCCGCCGGCTCTATCTCATCGCAGCCCCGGAGCAGCCCGGACTCCCCGCGGCGCTGCTGCCCAGCGGATCTCCGACGGCCCGCGGCGGGGCCGCACCATGGGGGGGGCGGCGGGGCGGCGCGGGCATAGACGGCGCCGCGGGGGCCGCTCCCGTGGCGGCGCTGGGGCTCGGGCGCGCCGCGCCGTGCCCTACATCGGCTGCCAACGCAGGGCCGGGCGGGGAGCGGCGGGGGCGAGGGCCGGGGGGAGCCCGGGGCAGCGCTCGGCTGCGCCCCGCGGCCGCTCCACCATACAAGGTGGGGAGGAGCGGGGGAAGCGCGCCCGGCGCGGGGGTGCCGCCCGGCGGGGAACCGGCGCCGGGGGCCGCTCGGAGGCGTCGGATCCCTTCGGCCAAAAATAGTATTAAAAAAAAAAAAAAA